GAGAAGTGAGCCCAAGGGCACTGTGCTCATCCGTGTTGAGAACGGGGTCTTCCCATGAACCACCACCTCAGCCCTCCAGCCCCCTAAAGGAACGGGGTCTTCCCATGAACCGCCACCTCAGCCCTCCAGCCCCCTAAAGGGTCTCTGGTCCCACACTCTTGAGAGATGCCGGTGACCATGGTGTTTAGCCCAGAAACTATCTCCCGGGGCAAACTTAGAGCTGATGTCTGAGGCACAGGGCAGGCCGGGGCAGGCTTTGTGAGCCTTGGGTAAGATGGCCAACCTCTCAGAGCACTGTGAAATGGACCAGAATGAAGAATTGAAGAGATTGGGAGAGTGGGGGGCGATGCCTTCACCTAATTACAAGGCTCTTCTTCCCTCTCCTCCTCTGCCTCTCCCTCTTCATCCCTACCATCAGCTCCCCATTCTGGAGTAAATGTGCTTTTCAAGAGGCTGCATTGGAGGCTCAGAGAACCGGAGTGACTGGCCCAGGTCACCCAGCCAGGGATTCCTGGTTTCTGAATCTGGATTGTGACAGCGGAGCCCCGCCCAGATGCCTGTCCCTCCTCCACACCCCCTCATCTCTCCTTTGAGTCTCCTTCTACAAAAAGGAAAAAGGTCTTGGCTACTTCTCCATTTGTCCCTGTCAACTCTCAGATCAATACCATCATTTCTGGCTCAGTCGCGACACCAGCCTCCTGGCCTCTTCACAGGTCTCCTGGTCCCAACCCTGTTTTCCTTGGTCTGCCAGCAGCAGGTAACAGGATCCTTTTAAAATGTAAATCCACCACACCACAGCTCTACTTTGTGAAGCTTCCCATTGCAAGTGGACCAATGGAACCTTCCCCCACACCCTGGGGGCCCAGCTGCCCTCACTTCCTTCCACTTTTGCCAGTAAAACTCTGGTCTTTCTGCTTCTTTCAGTTTCCTGAACATGTTAGACATACTCCTGCCCCAGGACCTTTGCACTTGCTGTCCTGCCGCCGGAGTACTACTGTGATGTGATATACCACCTGCTTCCTGTCCTTCAGTGCTTGGCTCAGGTCCCACCCCTCAGGCCACTCTACCTAGCCCTACTCATTCGGCCACCTCAGCACACTATTTCACCTTTCTCGTAGACCCTGTCAATCTCATGAGGCCAGGCTTGCCTCAAACTCACTATATAGCCAAGGATGATCTTAAACTCTCGAACCTGATGCTTCTACCTCCCTAGTGCTGAGATTGTTAAATGTTGACAATCACGCCCAGTGATTGGCCTCAGTGTACACTGAGGACTAAGCCCAGGCCTCTTGTGTGCTAGGCAGATGCTCTACCAACAGAGCTACATGTCCAGCCCAGCCTCGGAAGGTGTCTCTGTGTGTGTCTATGTGCATGTGCCTGTGCATGTCTCTGTGTGTGCCTGTGTGTGTGTGTGTGTGTGTGTGTATGTCTGTGAGAACCTATGTGTCTGTCTGTCTGTCTGTGTCTGTATGTGTCTGTGGTGTGCATAGGTGGTTTGTCTACCTGTATGTCTGTGCACCATGTGCATGCCTTGTGCCTGAGAAGACCAGAGAGGGCATTGGATCCCCTGGAACAGGAGTTACAGACAGTTGTGAGATGCCATGGGGTGCTGGGAACGGAACTTGGATCCTCTGGAAGAGCAGCCAGTGCTCTTAACTGCTGGACCTCTCTCCTGACCCAGTAACACTTGCTCACGTTTGTCTCACTGAGATGTGAGACCTGTGGAGAGCTTGCCTTGTGCACAGTAAGTGTTGAATGAATGAAGCTAACATAGGTAACCCCATCTTCTTTTGCAAGCTGCTCAGAACAGTCATTCATATCTAGTCTTGTTTTGTTTCCTCCTGGTTTTAGTCCAGGGCCGGTAACTCCCCTGCCTCTCATGAGGTGCACACTGTTTTCCCCTCCCTCCTCTCCATACATACACCCTGTGCTCTCACTTTCTTACCCCTCCCCACCTTTCCCCCTCCTTACTCCTCTAGTCCCCAGCTGGCTCTCAGTGCTCAGTAGGTACAGGCATTGCCTCCTCCTGGTAGCCCTCCCTGCTTACTTCCCAGTAAAGCCTGTCATCTGCCCCTGAAGATCGAGTGCCCTCTGTCTGAAAGCACAGTTCTCTTAGTGCTCTGAGAACATCTTCCTCCTCCCTGATCATGGGAGCTGCTCAAGGACCAGAACCAATCTGGCTCATCACTGGGTCCCAGTACCCAGCTCCGACAGGCTTGACTTGGCGTAGGACCTTAGAAAACATGAGTCTGGACTAGCAGCGGAGGACATAGAGATTAGACAAGGCAGACTGTGCCTCCTGGCTGTACAGCCCACAGCCAACCATTTTCTCCCGTTGAGTGTCAGTTTCTTTATCTATAACATGGGTGTGATGTTCTTGGCTGTCAGCATTGTGAGGATTTTGGAACATGAGAAACGTTGGTGAGTGCTGGGTCCCTGAGCTTTGCCACTGTCCCGGTGAGCACCCAGCCCTTGTGTCCTCTGTAGAAGAATGCCCTGGAGCCCTATCCTAAAAGGTCCTTAGCGGTAAAGGTGTGGGGAGTGACAGGCATTCCAGGTAAGGCATTCCAAGCAAGGATTTTAGACACAGCTCCATAGTTCATTGCCTGTGTGGTCCCAGGCAAGCCAGCAGCTTCGAGTGGAGTTCTTACTTATTGTACCCCAAAGCAATCTCCTGCCTTCTCCTGAGTCTCCCTGTGAGGGTCTAAAAGTTGGGGAGTCCCTAAGTGTCTGACTGTCTTCAGAGTCACGCACATAGAGAAAGAGGGATGCAACCAGGGAAGACAGTTTTCCTCTCCAGACCCTCCCCTTTCCCAGTCCAGCTCATATGTTTGTGCGTTCTTCCTGAGTGTTGTCTGGAACGGGGTACATAACAGGTGCTCAATAAATAAGTGGTGGATGGATGGATTTGTTCTGGACAGTGAACAAACGTTACTGATTTCCTACTGTATTAGTAGCCTTGGCGCTGTGCTAAGGCAGGGACCGGATGGTGTATATAAAGCAAGCAATGCTGACCAACCCCTTCCCAGGCTCCCTCAGGCACCTCTGGGTACCTTCAGTTCCTACTGCCCTTAACCAACTCCTTCTGGGTGCTTAGATTCCAAGCCAGGGCTTCCTCTAGAACTGAGATGATGCCCAAGTCCTTCATAAATCCTGGGAAGGCTACACTGCACGGCCATAACTCTTTAAATTCTTCAAGTTTGCCATGCTCCCTCCACCAGCGACCATCGGCCTTTGCTCCTCGCTCCCAGACAGTGAACGCTGGCTGCCCTATCCCCCTCCTAATGCCCTACATCAGGCTTGGCAGGGGGGTTCCCCAGAACGACCAGCAGGTGGCGTGGAGGCTCCCCTCTCCCCATCATTGGACTATAGGCCACCCAGACCCTCTCCCTCCTTTATCCTCAGCCAGGATAAAACTGGATCCTATGACCTTTATCTGACCCCTCTTTCCTGTGGCTGCTGCAATGGCTAGTAGAGGAGACTCCGGGTTGTTCCTGCAGGGCCCCTGGTAATCTGGGGAAGGTCCCTGGGGGTTAAACTGCAGTTGGTGGGGTGGGGCTGGTAGGGCGGGGCAAGGCAGCAGCTGCCAAAAGAGAAAGAGAAAACCAGAAGGGGTCGGTCCCTGGCTGGGCTACTATCCCAGGCAGGTCCAAGTCCCAACAAGGTCCCAGCCGAGGCTTATCCCCAAGACCGGGTACGTGGCCAAGGAAACGATGGCTCTGGGAGTGGGGGGTCAGCCTGCCCATCATGGCAGGCCTAGGGGTACAGAGGGCTGGACAGTTGTGTTGGAAAGCTCAGCAGAACCCCCTCCCACCTCACTTCCCAGGGGTCTAGGTCCTTGGGGGGGTGGCGTTAGTAGAGGAGTGTTCTGTGGCTTCTTTTGTTTCTTGGTGGGGTTTGCACCAAGTTGTTAGGCCTCTATCTGTGCGCCTCTGTTTCTTAATGGAAAGCCTGAGGGTAGGATGGAAGGCCGTGAAGGTCTTTGTTCACCCTCTTTGGGAAGAGATCTCTGGAAAACCTATGACAAAGCTGTGTCCCACCCACAACCCAAGGGTGAACTTTCAGATGGGAGGGGGATGTTGTTATGACAGAATATGGCCCTTTGTGTCAGGAGGCCAAAGGACTCTGGTCTAGCCTCTGATTGGGGCTTGGGTTAAAGAATGTCACAAGCTGCAGGTTGGGGGCTTTCTGTTGTTCCGTAGCAATTCTCCTTAGAGAAAGGATAGTGGGGGGGGGGGGGAAGGGGTCCTCTCTATCTCTAAGACCATCAAAGGAGCAGACAGAAGGGTGTGTGAGATCAGCATGGCATGTGGTTGTTCCCAAGGCAGTGAAGAAAGGGTTATCAAAGTGCATTAATTAGCCGAAGCTATCTGCCACATCTCCCAGCTCCTAGCACTTTAGAGCCATTAGCTAAATCAATGCTCAGAATGGGCATAGTGGTCCCCAAAGCCTCTGAAAACCACAGCCTCCACCCCTCTGTTCTGGAAGAAGCATGGTTCCAGATTGTTCTTTTAATAATCTAGAATGTGAGCAGTTTTAGAGAGAGATTGGTGCGAAGTCACTCCGGGTAGAGAGTCCGTTGAGTCAAGCAGAGAGAACCTTGGGTTCAGATCGTGACTGTGGAGGGTCCGTGCACAAAACAACTATCCAAATTGCAGTGTCCATCTACATGGAATGCCCACAGCGGAGTGAGAACGAAGTCCCAAATCCAAGCAAGGCCTGCAGAGTATCTGCGTCTAGCAGATGTTCACAGTGCTCTCGAGGGGATTAAAAATAGAAAAAGACTGGCCTGTGGTCTTAGCTATACCTCCAGGGAGCCAAAGGAGACCCTCCTCAGCCTCAATGGGCACATTGAGACCCTCCCCAGAGTTACCCTGTCCGCACCCTACTTACACCCTCAGTGTGTGTGTGTGTGTGTGTGCGTGCGCGCCCGTGCTCGCGCGCCTGGGGTGTGGGCTGGAGTGAGAGGTGGGGCACAGATGGGCATCTCCCAAGCACTTTGTCCTCCCTCTCCCCTGGGGAAGGGCCGGGCTGGGTCAGGACTGGGGCTGGGACTGACTGTGGCGCGGCGCTGCGGCTCCTTGCACCGGCCAGAAAGCGGGAGCCGCGGATCCCCGAAGCCCTTGGTTTTCCGGGCACCGACTGAGTGGGGATCGGGGACAGGAGTGGGGGCGCCCTCGGTCCTAACCCCGCCCCCGCTCTCTCCCCGCAGCGGGGGCGCCCCGCCCCCTGGGCGCCCGACGTGGACGCGGCCGCTGCCGCCGCTGCCGCCGCGCGGGAGTCGCTGTCCGCGGAGCAGATATGCAGGCGGCGCGGGGCGGCGCGGGGCGGCCGGGCCGGGAGGGCCGCAGGCTGGAGTGCGAGCGGGAGCGGCCGCCGGGTGCAGGAGCCGCCATGCCCCCCGGGCCGCCGTGCGCCTGGCCGCCCCGCGCCGCGCTCCGCCTGTGGCTGGGCTGCGTCTGCTTCGCGCTGGTGCAGGCGGGTAAGGGGGCCCGGGGCGGGGGACGGGCGGAGTGGGGGCAGCCTCCCCTCCCACGTTGCCACTGGGGAGTTCTCGGTTCCCTTCCTGCTCCCTGAGGACCTCTTGTGTCACCTGCTTCCTACTCTCTAGCCAGATCTCAGCGCCTCTGAACCTTCTTGACCCCTAGACCTGTCCTTCAGCCACTAACCCTCTTCCCTGGGTTTTAGAGTCTTGTGTCTCCTGATCCCTTCAGGCCATCCTCTAACTCTGGGTCTTTGCCTCAGTCACCTTTTCTGGCCCTGGGAGCAGCTGAGGACACCAGTGCTCCACCTTGGGCCTCCCTCTGTGTCCCCAAAGACCTCTCTCACGGACCCACAGGCAGACGCACCTCTCTGTACAGGAGCGACCATGAAGAGAACTGCAGTGGGGAGAGGGGGCTAAGCCTGCTACAATCAGTGTCTGGCTCACCCCATGGGGCCCTGCCTCCCCAAATCACCCCGATCTGTCCCTCCCAGCGGCTTCTGCCGCCTCAGTCTCCAACCATCTCTTTCCTTGCCCTGCTTCTGTGTCCGTGTCTGTCTCTAATGCTCCACTTGTCTGCTCTCTGGTTCTGTGACCGCAGCCACCTGTCTGTGTCCTTCTGTCCCTTTCCATCTACATGTCTGGCATAATCCTAGGGCCTTGAGTTCACTCATCTAAGTGGGATGGGGTTACTGCTCAGGCCCAGGGCTTCCAATCAGAACACCTGCGCTCTTGAGAGACACAGCCCTCGTGTGACTCTCCTCTCCTCTTCCAGAAGGTCCTTCATTCCTGTCCTATTCCCTCATTGTTTTCCCACTTTCTCTCGGAAATTTCCCCCATTCATCTTCTTCCTTCACCCAGAAGGCCTTGTCGTATCTTGGTGACTCTCCACTGAGCAGCCGTGTCCTGAGTGCCCCTAACTTCCTCCATCCCTGTCACTTGGGGTCCCATGGACTATGAAGAGACTCACATAGACCCTTGCCCTTAGGAGCACTCTGCCCAGCTCACCACAATTCGGGGTTGCCTCTGTCCCATGCCAGGGCTCAGCCCCTCCTGGCTCTTCATCCTGGGGTCTGTCTCCCTCCCTCAAGGTCGTTCACTTGATAGTGTGCTCTATAGAAAGAGCACTAATCGGCTTCTGCAACTCCGTTCAGCTATCCCCCACCTCCAAACCTCACCATTCATCCACTAGATCTTGCTCCGTTCAGGTCCAGGCCTATCAGTTTTACCTAAGGACCCTTGGTTTGGCCAGTCTATGGCAAGCATGAATTTCCCTGTCAGTCTCCAGGAGCCTGAGGCCCCTCAGCCACTGAGGGACTGAGAGCCATGTGGCCCAGCTGATGCCTTGGAGTCCCTTTCCCTCTCCACATAGCACATCTCATTTAGAGTGGGCCTGGGCCTCAGAGCAGGGCATGCTCAGGCTCAGGCGCCTCCCTGCCCTGCAGACAGCCCCTCGGCCCCCGTGAATGTCACCGTCAGGCACCTCAAGGCCAACTCTGCAGTGGTCAGCTGGGATGTCCTGGAGGATGAGGTTGTCATCGGGTTTGCCATCTCTCAGCAGGTAACCCTTGAGGGTGCTTGGAGGGAGAGGGCATATCAACATGGTGACAGAAAACCAGATGCATATGGTGTAGAATGCCTGTAATCCCACAACTCAGGAGGCACGGAAGAAGGATTGAAAGTTCAAGGCCAGCCAGGCAACACAGCAAGACCCTTGTCTTAAAAAAAAAAAGGAGAAAAAAAAAAAAAAGTGTCTGTCCAGGACAGAGGGTGATGGTAGGGAAACAGAAAACAGAAAAGGAAAAGAAACACAGGACGAGATATGGGTGACAAGTTGTACATTTGGCTTAGAATTGTGGTCACAGAAGGTCCATAGTCAGTGGAGACGCATTCAGGAGATCTGGGCTGGGACATGGGAATCCAGAAAATGGGTCTGACTGCAGACACAGAGGAGTTTAGGACACCCTGGCATCCTCAGTAGCTGTGTGGCCTTGGGTAGCATCCCAACCTCTCTCAGCCTGTTTCCTTAGCTATGGCAAAAATGATGCCCAAGGTGACAGGATGATGATGCACATGAAAAGGACATGTCACCGCAGGGGGTGGGCAGAAGAGGGTTGGTGCCTGCACACTGACATACCAAGCCCTGCCCCCCTTTAGAAGAAGGATGTGCGGATGCTACGCTTCATTCAGGAAGTGAACACAACCACCCGATCATGTGCTCTCTGGGACCTGGAGGAGGACACAGAATACATCGTGCACGTGCAGGCCATCTCCATTCAGGGCCAGAGCCCAGCTAGTGAGCCTCTGCTCTTCAAGACCCCACGGGAGGCAGAGAAGATGGCCTCTAAGAATAAAGGCAAGCAAGCACGGCGGGGGAGGGTGTGTGTGTGTGTGTGTGTGTGTGTGTGTGTGTGCTAGAGTCCCATGGTAAGGGCAGCTGAGCAGAGCAGGAGGGGAACAAAATAGCTCAAAAGACATGTGAGGAGGTTTGCTTTAGTCTCCCAACAGGAGACTGGTGTGTAAACTTCCTCCTTTGGGAGGAGCAGCCTTCACGATGCTCCTGGAACTCTTTACGTTGGGTGTCTTGGTATTGGTTGAGGCACTTCTGGTGGCCTTAGCCCTGGAGGAATGGCTGGGGAGGCAAGGAGCCCAGGACTAGCTACTCTCTCCCCACAGATGAGGTGACCATGAAGGAGATGGGGAGGAACCAGCAGCTGCGAACAGGCGAGGTGCTGATCATCGTCGTAGTCCTCTTCATGTGGGCAGGTGAGTCAGGCTTCCAGAGCCTTCTTCACCGACCCTTGAGGAACCGAGGACCCCAACCAGCCATCACCAAGGGTGAGGGGCTTGGAGATGTCTAGGAGGGGGTGAAACTCCTAAATCCTGTCTTTGGCAGCTCTGAGAGCTAAATCTGACTCCTTCTCTAGTCCCCTGTACCCAAACACAAAATAGTTAGTACGATTTTGTAAGCCTTGGGTGTGCTTGCCTTTTTCCTTGAAGACGTGATCCAGCCTCCTATGGTGGCCATGTTCACAGTCAGTGTACCTTTTGGCTCACAGACTGACTTAGGGTAGTGCAGCTTGTGAGAGTGGGTGAATGTTGGGAATAAAGGGTAGAGAGGTTGAGGGCTGGAGTCTTTTGAGGGATTTAAATACCATACTCAAGCCTGATTACCATGGTGGTGGAGGGAAGAGTGTTGGGGAAGCATTTAGGGGGTGTTTCTTATACACATAGGAAAACAGGTCCTTGAGAAAAGGCAGGAAGGTGAGGGTTAGACAAAAGAGGAGGTTTGAATATGGTACATTATTAGGCTTGGCACAGACAGTGTTTACATAATCACAATGCTATAAACAGAAATTTAACCCAAAACTTGTGGTGAAAGTCTGTTAGGATGTTGGAGAGGGAAATAGCAGTTGTTGGGCTATGCTGGGAAGTTGAGAGCTATTTGAGATGGATCAAGAACAATATAGAGGCAGAATGGGGACCATTTCTTCAACGGGAGTTAGTGTGAATACTATCCACATGTTACTAGGTCAATAGTAGACAGTAAGCAGGTTCTGTGTATCACGTCCTGCCATACCGACACGTGACCTTGAGTTACTGACACTCTCACCAGTATGTTCCCTTGTGCCCTGGAGTGAATAATAATAGGTTGGAGTTGTAAGGATCAAGAGAGACTGAATATGTCAGTGCACACAGCACAGGGCCTGGCACAGACTCAGCAAACATCTTTATCGGTCCCGTGGTAGCTGTCAGAGGTTTAGACAGGGTAACAGGGAGACATGATCAGATCCATGCTGCGGGAGGGCCAGCCTGGCAGCATGAAAGGAATGGCTAGTGGCCGGGTAGGTGGGAAAAGGAGCCAGTGGCCGGAAGGAGGTTGTGGCAGCATAGAGGCCATGTGGAGAGGGATGGGGCAGGAGAGAACTCAGACCCAGGCCTCTGACTGCTCCTGCCTGTCTCCCCAGGCGTTATAGCCCTCTTCTGCCGCCAGTATGACATCATCAAGGACAATGAGCCCAATAACAACAAGGAAAAAACCAAGAGTGCGTCAGAAACCAGCACACCAGAGCACCAGGGTGGAGGGCTCCTCCGCAGCAAGGTGAGGGCAACACCTGGGCTTCGTGGGTGGTCCCGTGCCTTAAACATTTGTAGTCCCTAGACTGCAGAAGGGGTCAGCTCAGGGCCTGGCATGGCAGCAGCTAGGCAAAGCCAAGCTTGGCTGCTGCCTGTGTGACACAGGGGACACTGCAAATTGATTTTGGATCCTCGCCTTTTGCAGGGTGCCAAGGGCCAGTGGTGTTTTGTTTTGTTTTGGTTTTTGTAAAGACAGCCAATGGGAACAGCAGAGTTCCTGGTTCATGTGGAGGGACAGCATGTGTAGGGGTGATGCACCTGGGGTGGTGTTTTTCATCTCTCCCTTTATTTCCTCGTTTATGAAAACAGATATGAAGCCTTTCCAGTGCTTGCTCTGAGCAGCTCAGAAGACAGTAGAGAATGTGAGAGGACCTCACTGTTCTGACAATGACTATCTGACAAACATCTTGCCCTCTCTGCGTCTCCTCCCCCGTCCATCCTCTCCTATCATCGGGCTTTACTATCTTCTCTCTTGGCTTCTTTCTGATGTCTTGTCCTGAAGCCTCTTATTAACCCCTAACTCCAGGAGCATCTCCACAATGTCAGTGCTGAGGCTGTTCTCAGAGAGAACTGGAGAATGTGAGAACCAGCCAGAGGGATGTCTTTGCTGGGGTAGACTGGGTGCCGGAGTTCTCGGCCTGGCCACTCATCTTGATTGTGTGTGAAAGGGCAGAGACTTCCAGGAAAGGCCATTCTTTTCTCCCTGGGAGGGACAAGAGCCTGGCGTTTAGGCTGCAGCCCTGCTGGCCCTTCCGTCTTCTGCCGTTTTCCATCTTGCAAGAAGTCTATTCAACCAGTTCTGCCACTTCTCTTGTTTGTTCCCTTCCCAGTTTCCAAACAAGCCCTCAGTGAACATCATCAAAGAGTGGCTGGCCCCATCTGCAGGGGAAGGGTTTCGTTCTCTTGGTCCCTGCATCCTTCCTGGGCACAGGGTGAAAGCTGACTAAAGCGATGGGGGCATGGCTAGCCACAGTTCCTTTCCCCATCTTAAGTCTGATGATGAAGGCTGAACTATAACCTAAATTCTTTAGAAGAAAAAAAAAAATCAAATAAGGCACAAAGCTAGAAGGCCTGGCTGCACACTGGAGAAGGCAAAGCTGCATGAGACACAGCCTCCCACCTCCTTGCTTCTGGACTGGCTTCCTCTTTGAGAGAATGCACAAAACTCTGGGAGAGCAAGCACTAAGACTGCCTGGAGCTGTCTGTTCAACCAAGTGCACCAGCAAAGCTGTGGGGCTGTCTGCTTTCAGGGCCCTGACTCCATCAAGCCTGCTAGATCAGGTCAAAGAGGACATCTGCGGTGTGAGGCACACCTTTGCAAACGTGTGTAATGTTATTGTTTTGGCTCTTGGAAAACACAATCAGAGGGCTGCACTCCAGAGGGTACAGGATTCTGCTGAGACGTGAGCGGATTGCTGGTGACTTCAGTCTTCTTTATGGTGAGAGCATCAGTATGGAGTTTTAAGACTTGGAAGGTGCTGCCCACTTTTAAAGGCAGTGGCTCAGTGTTGCAGCCGCATCGGCTTGGATAACTGAAAAAGGCACATCTATATCCTACACTCTAGGGGCTGCTGAGCGACCTGTCGGAAAGCCATTCACCAGATAAGAGAGCAGCTTTGCTGTCACTACTGGCCTCTGAGTCTTTGGATCTTGCCATCTCATTCAGGGTCCTATGAAAGTATCCAGAGTTCTCATGTCCTTCCCTAGAGCTTGAAGTGTGAAGTGACAGCTAGTGCTCTCTTCTCTTCCTTCTTCCTCTCCTCTGCCCCTTTCCAGTTTAAAAAAAAAAAAAAAAAAGGTGCTTGATGAGGCAAGCAGACTTCTCTGGGACTGATGTACCATGGCTGCCAAATGCCTGCATGGGAAAAGTGAATTCTACGTCTTCCATTGGTGGCCGAGGTAGTGTAGCAGGCTGTTCCCAGCACATAGTAGGTGCTTGGTAAGTATTTGTTGTACTGAATGATGAGTACTGGTGCCCCAGCCAGAGAGCTAAAAGCCATCACCCAGTGACTGCCCCCTCATTTGGGTCTCTAACAGCTCTCAAGGCTGGGTCACCCCCACCCTGCTTGCTCCAAGTGTGGCAGGCAGGGGAGGAGAGACAGATAAGGGCAGATGTCAGCAATACTAAGGGCTTCCTCCTGGGAGGGCATGAGGTTCCACTCATCGTCTTGTGACTTCCATCCCTGCTGAATGGGGCTGCAAGGCCAAGGCTCCTTAAGAGAGGTCCTTACCTCGATCCAGTTAGAGCAATAACCACTTTTTAAATGTAAAATAAAGACAAATGAAAAGGCACACCCTTGTCCTCTGGTAAATGCCCAAATGTTGCCCTCTTTTTCTGGCAACTGGCAGCAAGTCAGGATGTGTGGAGGAGGGAGTCAGTTCTTCTTAGGGACATGCCTGCCAGCCAAGCTCGAGTTGGAAGGGAATTCTCGAACAGATGGGGGTGCACGTGTAGGAGAAGAAAATAGCTGCTCTACCATCCTCTCTCTGAGGCTCCTCTCTAAGCTCAGCTTGGGCTGCCTCACCACATAGGTATGCAGGCGCCTGCTCAGTTCTTAAAACAAAGGGTTTTCCCCTGGGGATAGCGCTGTGTGCTTATTCCTGCCAGAGGCCCGTGGCTCTTTTCTGGGGTGGGTAAATGAAGAACTGCAAAGGCTGCTTTCTGCAGAAGTAATTCTGCATTCACTCCGTGCTCTTCCGGGCTGCTAAAGGAACATCATTAAGATCCCCACAGAAGGCTGAAAGGCAGGCAGAGTAAGGATGCCATTAGCCAATGAGCGAACCAGGAAATGGGGCACCTCCAGCATTCTTGTCCAGGGGCAGGGGACAGAACTTCAGATGTGCAGTGCCCACAGGAGGCTGCTAAGGTTCTGAGAGCAGAGGGAAAGATCTTAGAAGCCTCTCTCTGCCAGTGTATTCCAACTGAGAAGCATTTGGTGGAGGTAGTTAGTGGGGTTTGGAGAGCCCTTAACAGGCTGGGGTCAAGGTTCCCTGTTCATCCATGCCTGTGGTATACCACAGAGGATCTGGAGGGAGCAAATTGCTCCTTTAGCTAAAGGTTCTGTCCTCTTTCTCCTGAAATGATTGCATGCTTCTTGAAATAGTTATTTATAGCCAAACTCTACAGCTATTATTTGAGAAGTGGTCCCTCCATTCCTGTCAGGTGACTCCAAAGATTCCTTGAATTTGGGGAAGCTCTGAGACCAAGACCACAGCAGTCCTGTGGGAAGAATGCTGGACAGAAAGGCAGGAGACCTTAACCTTGGCTAGTCACTTCTCTGAAGGTGGAGTAGGCTTCCTTTCTATCAAAACCATATGCAAAGAGGATTTCCAGAGCCCACTGACCCAGGATAATGACTAAAGGCTGTCCTAGAAACACAGTGGAGGCCAAGGAGCTAAGAGGAGGAGGAAGACTGCTGGGAATCTGAAGCAGGGTCCTTTCTCCTGTCGTCTAACTCTAGCCTTTCAGTACAGATGTCCTCTGTACTCAATCCAGCCCTTTACAGACACACATTTCACTAGGCCATCTATGACAATCTTTCAGACTTCTATTTATGTTTTTCTTAGTGAATTTTGCTTTTAATAAGTACCTCTAGGGGCAAACAGCTTCTATAAACAGGACACCTTGACTGCCCCCAGGAGCAGCCCATGGGTGAAAAAAAAACCAAACCTGAAAATAGAGCCCAAGGTTAAGTTCTCTGTATACAGATCATAGCCTGGTGATATATTTCAGGATTGTCACTTAGACTTCTAAAGGTTACCCCAAAGATCATATTCCTCCTGTTTTTGGTTGGGTGCTGGTTGGGAAAGCCATATTTTTCCATCTACATGTTCCAGCTGTTACCAGGGAATAAATGGGTTGAAATGACAAGGCAGGTGCTTGTTCATTAAGGAATTTCAACAATGACCACCAGTTGACTCTTTCTGTGACAAATGGAAACATTTACCCGACAGGTGCCCTGGCATGCATGTACACACACAGACACACACCCTGCAATCGTTTGGGGAATAACTGTTTTCTCCTAGAAAATAGGACATTGGTTTTTCATTCTATAAAAGCTCAAGATGGGCCTCTTTGAGAATGAGCCCGCTCCCCATAGAGAAAGGTCCTTCTTCTATCCACTTCTCTGTAACAAGATGAACGGAAGATATGAGACACCATCATTTCAGAGACTTCATCCTGGTCTTTGAAACCTTTTGACACCTGGGGTAGAAACTGACACATTGATAAACAGGAAATAATTACCAACAGATCCTCTACACTTTACAGGAACAATGCATATATATATATCTCACGTGTATCAAATAGCTGAGTGTTTACCAAGTTTCTGTACATTTCTGAACAGCTTTGTCTAGAATACACACACACACAGGACAAAATAAGAACTTAGCATGGTGGCATTTGCCTGTAATCTAGAACTTGGCATGGTAATCTCCTTCCTTTCTGGAGATGGAGGCAGAACTTCAAGTTGGAGGCCAGTCTGGGTTTCACAGAAAGATTCCGTCTCAAAAACACTTCTAATGGGGCTGGAAAGATGGCTCAGCAGTAAAGAGCACTGGTTGCTCTTACAGAGGACATGAGTTCAATTCCCAGCATCCAAAAAGCAGCTCACAGCTGTCTATAACTCCAGTTCTAGGGAATCTGACACCCTTGTACAAACATACATACAGGCAAAATATCAATGCATGTAAAATAAGAAAAATAAATCAATAAAAAAATGTTTAAAAAAAAAAACAACCCAAAATGTAAAAAGCAGACTGTCCAATTATGTTGCTACTTTCCCAGCAGCACTGGCTAATGCAGGTGACAATTTATCATTGTTGCTCTTGTGCCCTTACTCCTAGGGAGTCAATCTAAGATTAGGTTCATAAATGGCATTTAAAGAATGCCGTCTCTCCATTATCTACCCACATCCATCCAATCTTCATGCCAGCTTCTTGGAGCAACAATTTCTGGAGAAGTTGGGCTAAGAACCACCACCAATTTCAATTAATTGAATCTGATTTCTCCTATCTTCAAAGGGAGAACTGCCTTGGAATAGCATGGTTTTCTCCTTGGTCAGTGCTAGCTCAAGGGAAGGACACAGGGGCCAACCAGGGAGCCATGAAAGGAACACAGGGAACTGTGTGCCTGATGGTGCTGCGTGGTCTTCCCCTCTGCAAGAGCCAAAGCACAGTGATGGCTTAGGCTACAGACATGCACTGTACATAGCTGCAAATTCCCATCAATCTTGGCATTTCTTAACTGTGGGAACGCCTTCCTCAACACTGTAATTTACCCTCAAAAGAGCAGGGAGCAAGCACCTCCTTCCCAGAATCATGCTCTACTAAACGCTGCCACCCTCCCATATCCTACTAAACGACCTACGCAGAGGAAGGCAAAGAACCCTCCTCCGAAGCCCGAAACAGACGGCCACAGTACATATGCCACTGACAAGAACTTTTATTTCTTTTTAATGACATTAAACACAACTGCTACAAGGGGAAAAACATGATAAAAAAAAAAAAAAAAAAGGCACCAAACTTAAGTTTCATAATTGATCCTGACAACAATGCAAGTAAATCAGAGCCCATATTAGATGCAAAACTATTGGTTATCTCAGGCTCCTTACTTACAAATAAACTATTTAAACAGCAAATTTTTACTTTGCTTTGCCAAGACCCCTGTTATCATGGACAATAAAAGCTAAGTACAGTTAAATGTACATAAACCCTCACTCAAATTTAAAAATACAGCAAAAATTTAATCTGCAATATAAGACTTAGAGGCCAATACCAAAAATAAGATAAGAGATATGCAGCTCTGAAGAGATTAAAACTCTAGATTTTGCCCATTACCATCTTTATGGCTAACATGCCAGATAACGAGTTTTCTTTGGCTTTGTTTTTCTCCTTAAAGAATACCATGTTAACCATCAGAGAACAGCTCTCTCCTCCCCCAGTCCAACAGATTTAATTAGGCTGCTAACGCTTTAGAAAAACAGAATTATCTGAGCTAGAGGAAATGTGATTGTCACATTTTCTAGTTAACCTGTCACTCATATGATTTGGCAAAGGCTCCCATTATACATTCAGCCTTCAACCCCCAGTACCAGGAGAGCAAGAGCATCTCAGATTTCTGCCTAAGCAAATGCTGTCCTTCACTCCCTGTGTTATCTGTGGGGGAACTACTAGCCAGCATGCTAACTGCTCCAGCTAGATTAAATTTTAACTTTGTCTTGGTCCCAAAGGTAGATTATTTGGCATATCTCATCCTATCAGGCTAATTTACAGCATCTCAGACAAGTAACCAATGAAGTAAATGATAATTATGGCAACTCAGAGAAGAGACTAGATTACTTACTGCCTCTGAAGGTCTAATCACAGGATCTAAACCAAAGAATTAAGGAATAGAAAATCCTTGCTAGGGGAAAAAAGGTCAAAAGCTGGCCATTGGTGGGACATGCCTTTGAGCCCAGTACTCAAGGCAGAAGCAGGCAGATATCTGAGTTAAAAGTCAGCCTGGTCTACAGTGAGTACTAGGACAGCCAGACTACACAGAGAAACCTGTCTTGGGGGGTGGGGAGAAAATTCTTGTTGGGCATAGTGATACACACCTGTAATCCCAGTACTAAAGAGGTGGGGCAAGAAGATCAGAAGTTCAAGACCATCTTGGGCTAAATATTGCATTGAAGGCCAACCTAGGCTACACAGGAGATTTAAAAAACAAGACAAAACAAAACAAAACAAAAAAAAAAAACAGAAACAAAAAACAAAACAAAAACAACAACAAAAAACAAAAACAAAAAAAAAACAGAAAAAAAGAAAACCCTTGACTGGATAAAACCAACAAACATTTAGGAATATTTATTCAAATCCTCTGAAGGCTTGGGGGGGGGGGGAAATCAAGATTTTCCTAAATCAGTCATTTTTTTTTTTTTTTAGCCAAACAGTAGTGAGGAACACTTTTAATCCCAGCACTTGAGAGTCAGAGGCAGGCAGATCTCTGAGTGAGGCCAGTCTGGTCTACAGAGCAAGTTCTAGGACAGCCAGGGCTACACAGAGAAACACTATCTTGAAACCCCTCCCCTCCAAAAAAAGAATCACTTTTCTAAGTGAGAGAATATTTAGGATGGGTTACCCACTCAAAAAATGAGAAAGAAAACCAGACAGAGGCTACACAACTATTAATAACATTCACAGAATGAATGATAGCAGCATGAACTCCAAAAATGATGTCTAGGGCTGCCTGTAGACATCCATTAAGACAAACACACAAAGCCTATGAGCTTTGGTTAGAACACCAAACATTACTCAAGAGTAGGTAATGTTGTGATGCACAGGCTCAATCCTAATTTCTCCAGACGTTCTTGAGCACTAATGAGAAACGATGGGGACTAATCAAATGCTAACATACAGGGTGTAAAGGTACCTGTAGTCAACTAGAGAGAAAAACAGTGCCTCTCCAAAGGTTTCCACAGGAAGGAGGCTCCTAGAATAACACCAACACATAAACTTGGGGTTTTGCACATGAAACTGAAGATTCCCAGACATCTCAATGGCACTGACTCATCATCACCAAGGCAAGATTCTGGCGGAAGTTCTTCAGTAAACAGAGGGCATTCTGAAAGGTATGTTTACACCTAACAGAATATAAGAACATCTCCTGTAAAAACTCCAGGAGCAGAGTGGTCACTGGGAATGGGAGAACCCTTGAAGGGACCAAGAAATCAACCAGTCACAAAACCATGGAATATTCAACAAGGGTTAGTCAGCTATCTTCTGTCAGTTAAGTGTGTTAAGGTTTACAAACACTGTGAGCAAGATATAGTTAACAGAGAAGGAAAACAGCCAATAGTTAAAAAAAAAAAAAAATAAAAAAAAATAAAGGTAGCTAGTAGGCACAGAAAGGAGAAGATTTACATTTTTAACCTATCCTTTCAGCAGGACTTTTCTCCTACTCCATCTTATTTTAAATGCCCCAAATTGCCAACCTTAAAATACTGACAAGTACTCAAGAGACTTAAAAAGAGGAGTTGTTAAAAGTGACTTCTACCCATGAATGAGTTATCAACAGTAACACTGGCTTGTAGCCTGCAAAATAATCCCTTCCTTACAGTAAATGGAAGGTGATTTACTTGGGGCACTACAAGTAGTCTACTGCCTGTTCTTAGAGCTGGTATTTATGAAGACAGGAAGTTCTGGCTTACTGCAGGCCTTCAAAGAGAAGCTACCTTCATTTTAAATTAAAAAGAAAAAAGGAAAGGAGAATAGGATGGAAGGAGTGAGGGGGGAGAGGGAGGGAGGGAGGGAGGGAGGGAGGGAGGGAGGGAGGGAGGGAGGGAAAAATACTACTTAATATTGCTGAAACATGTATAGACAGACACACAAATCAGGAGGATCCTCATAAAAAAAACTCAAGACAGTAATGGGCATTTCCAAAAGGTGACAAATTCTTTAAATAAAAAAATCTTGTGAAAAATAAAACTCAAAATATACAAACAAAAATAGCAGAGGAAAATTAAGATGCTGCTATGGACTGAACCCTGGGAAGGGACTGTCACTGTGGATGAGATGAAACATATGGACTGTAGGAGAAGTCTGGGAGACGCTGGAAACGATGGTGACTCCGCTTGTTTCTGTCGACCCACTGACTCAGACTGTATCTTTGTAGAGGTTTCTGTCGGAACCGGGCATAATTTCTATTGAGAAGAGAGTAAAAACAGGAAGAATTTTCCGTTGAAATGGTCATTTGGATACAAAACAGCTACCATAATTAATTTTTTTGTTTGTTAGATCTTGTTTTTCAAGACAGGGTTTTTCTGTGTAGCAGCCCTGGCTGTCCTGGAACTCGCTTTGTAGATCAGGCTGGCCTATGGTCTACAAAGGCAGAGACCCACCTGCTTCTGCCTCCCAAGTGCTGGGATTAAAGGCATGTGATACTATGCCTGGCTGCTATCACAACTATTTTTAAAGATATTTTTACTTCTAGAAATCAGATTATATATGTTGTTGTTTATTTATTTGAGATGGGGGGGGGTCTCTCTACATATCTACATAGCCCTAGCTTTCCTGGAACTTACTATATAGACCAGGCTGGCCTCAAACTCAAGAGATTTACCTGATTCTGCCTCCTGAGTATGAGAGTATTTGCCACTATGCAGGGCTAATATTATATTTTGATGTTACAATTTTAGAAATTCTAAACTATTTAATTGTACGTTGAAAGCCATATCATAAATGCTATTTCCTTACAACTCTCAAAGTCACCCCATTCTTACACAGGTATTGTTAGTAAGTGCCACATATACCATGTTCTAAGGAAAACCAATGTGCAATGTTTAAAAGCCAGGCATTGTGGCGAATGCCTGTAATCCTCAGCAATGTGAGGTCAAGGCTTTCTCAGCTACATGAGTTAGAGGCCAGTTTGAGCTACATAAGGCCCTGCCTCAAAAAAAACCAAAATAGTTTCCTTCTTCTAGAAGTGTTTAGAGCAGGAACTGTGTTTCATTGATTCATCAGACCTATGTCTCCTACAGGACTTCACTGTTACACAGATCAAGGTTGCTTAAACCACATCAGCTAGAATTAGATAAAAAAAGAATTCTCAGAGAAGGTAAGTCATCATGTGACTATCATATGGTGAGCTTAGAGACTGCACAACCAATAATACAGGCCACAGTAAGGTTTGAGAGTCACCTGCTCTGATTGTGGTTTCTGAGAAAGACCCTTAATAATGAGACTCAATTTCAAGTCCAAAACTGTTGCCAATAACCACTTGAGAATCTAGTCAAAGATACAGATCCTTAGCTAGGTGTGGTGGGATAACACATGCAATCCCAGCACTGGGGAGGACCAAAGCAAGGGTCAGCAAGATGGCCCAGTGGGTAAAAGCACCTGCAAGTAAACCTAACAAACCTGAATCTAATGCCCAAAACTCACACGAGGTAAGAGGGCTATCTTCTGACCTTCATGTGCATGATGTGGTAAGTATCCAGCTAGGCTTTGCAATAATAGTGACTCAAAAAAGGATTCTTAGACCCTTTCTCCCTGGAGTAAAGGCTGGAACATTACACAGGTAGTTGTGAGAAGCAGCCAAGGCTTTAAAAAATTTTTAACAGTACTTGACTTTTATCTATCACTATATGACACTATCTGCTGAATTCTTTGAACACCCCATCTAAGTTAATATTAGTGAATTCCTACTAGGAAAGTAATGACATTAACTTCTACACTAGTAAGGAAATTAAGCTTGAGGCTAAATAACTTTCCCAAGGCCACATAGAAGAGTAGGGAGAAAAGCCTAGATCTGACTCCAAAATGTATTTTAACAACTATGTTACACTACCCCCTCTTTTTTGAGGTAGGTGTGTGTGTGTGGTGTAGTGGAGATTACAACTGAGCTACCTACATTCCCATCCCCACACCGAGAACTGCTTATGTTTTATTTTGATTTATTTATTTATTTAGAGTGTCTTGCTACATATCCTGGAATTTGCTATGTACCCCAAGATAGCTTAGAATTTATGGCAATTATCCTGCTTCTGGCCCCAGAGTGCTGGGATTAAGTGCTGTGGTTCTGGTACAGAGGAAGCAGTAACGATAGTAGATGAGCCCAGCAAAGCACACAGGCATTCTTAGAGGACGGAGAATGGCTAGCTGGCTGGAAGCCAATGGAGAGAGGGAGAAAGAAGGGAACCTGACTTGTGCTTTAAAAGACTCTGGCTTCTAAGCAAGTAGTGACAGGGTATATAGGAGACTCTATATGATTTCCTGATGTCCTAATATGGAATGTGAGAGAAACATATTATAGTAACACTAAGGCTTAAATGTTTTTTGTTTTTTACTTTTTAAAAGACAGTGTCTCACTACGTAGACCTGGCTGGCCTGGAATTATGTAGACTGGGGTGGTCTTGAATTCACAGAGATTCACCTGTCTTTGTTTCCCAAGTGCTAGGAATAAAGGTGTGTGCACCACCATGCCTGCCCTAAGGTTTTTGAGTCACTAAGTTAAAACTGCACTGCATCAAGAATACAGATTTTTTTTTAAAGCATTTGTTTTGTGTGTGTGTGCGCGTGTGAATATATGTATAGGTACTTGTGTGCCATAGCTCATGTGTGAAAACCAGAGGGCAATTTGCAGGAGTCTTTCTACCATGTGAGTTCTGGGGATGAACACAAGTTGATAGGCTTGGCATCAATTGCCTGTACTCACTGGGCAATCTTGCCAGCTGAAGAATCCAGATTTTAGTTTACATGTGATAGTACATGCCCATAATGTTGCCACCCAGGAAGTCGAAGCAGAAGGATCATGATTTTGAAGCTAGCCTGACTACATAAGGAGACCTTATGGCAAAACATGCAAATACACACTCAGTTTTTGTTTTTGAGACAGACTCAGTATGAAACCCTGGCTGGCCTAGAACATGTTATGTAACTTGCTTTGTAGACCAGACTGGCCTCAAACTCAGAGATCCACTGGCCTCTGCCTCCAAGTGCTGTGATTAAAGATATGTGCTACCCTGCCCAGGCTAGCACTCCAGATACTGAAGCTGGGTATGGCAATGCATGACTACATAATGAATAAGATGTGGGAGGCTGAGGTTGGCCTGAGTAACAAGACCTTGTAATGTTGAAGGAAGAAGAGGATGAAAAGATGAGGAAGAGGTGGTGATTCTGACTTTGGGGCCAACAAGATGGCTCAGAGAGCAAAAGCACTTTCTGCAGAAACCCTACAACTTGAGTCCAACCCCTAGACTCATGTAAAGGTGGCAGGAGAGAACTGACTTCTCTACACATGTACCACAAATGCAGGTGTTCCCCCTATACACATCACATGCACACAATTACAAATTAAAAAAAAAAAACAAAACAAAACAGATTTTTTTTTAGAACCAGAAAATTTACTGATAACCATAAAATTGAGGTAATTGATCATAATAGAGCTAGTTAGTTGAACATTGTGCGTCTACTATTAAAACTTGAACTTTGGTCCAATTCTTAGTTCATTCTAATGCTGTTTCTCTTTCTGGAAATAAACAACTCCTCATAGTTCCCTCGCAACCAAACTCTAGCCTCTTCTCCTTTAGGAGGAAGGAGACACACTTACCGTGTAGTAAGATCTGAAGGATGCTGCCAGTCTGGGTTCTGCATATGAACTTGATCCATCAGGGCATCCAGCTCTCCCAAGGTACCTGTGATAGAGGGAGGAGGGCTTAGAAGGCAGTTGAGTGTACAATGCTTGCTTCCATCACAGCAAAGCACATACTTCAGGGGAAAAGAAAAAGGCATTGACCTTATGATAATCGCTGTGATTATCACAAGCAATTAGCACAAAAAGTATAAGCCAGACTCAGGCACTGCTTTTGGATGATGACAGGGAAACAAAAAATGGCAATGATCATTCCTTTAACACTTAACTTATAGATGTGACATGCTTCACAGGTACCTAGGATTGTGGCAGTGAACAAGGCATCATGTCTGTCCCTGCCCTCACTTAATGTGGGAGATAAGTGGTTTTGAAGTGTAATAAGGAGATATGCCAGTAGTTACTGGGGTGTGGAACCAGTCAGGGATGGAAGGATACATAGAAATTAGTGAGGTAACAGGTTGTAGGTTTGTTTTAAGAAAAGTAGCTAATATAAAGGCTCAGAGACAAAGAATAGTAAAATACACCAAAGAAAAACTAGGTGTTTAGAATAGATGGAGACAAGCACTCTTTGCAAACAAGAAAAACTGTTAAAGATGATTCCCACAATCTTTGAGAACTTAACTAACAATGTACTACATACTTCATGTTATCTTATTAAAAAACAAAAAACATATGCCAGGCATGGTGGTGTAGTTGGGAGGCAGAATCAGGCAGATCTCGGTGAGTTTGTGGCCAGTCTGGCCTACAGACTTGAGTTTCAGGACAGCCAAGTCAACACATAGAAACCCTGTCAAGGGAAAAAAATCACCTATGTTCAGAACTATTCTAACTTGTCTTAGTGTCCTGTTGCTGTGAAGAGACACCATGACCAAGGCAACTAACTCCTATAAAGGAAAGCATTTAACTGAAGGCTTGTTTAGTTTTAGAGGATTGATCCCAGATCATCATGGCAGGAAGCAGATAGGTATAGTGCTAGAATAGTAGGTAGTAGCTTAACATCATGATTATAGGCAGCAGGCACAGAGACTGGGTCTGGCCAGGGCTTTTGAAAACTCAAAGCCCACCTTTAGTAACACTCTATCCAACAAGGCCACACCTCCCTACCATTCCAAAACAGCTATACTAACTGATAGGGGGACCAACCATTCAAACATATGAGCTTATGGGGCCTTCTTATTTAAACTACCACATAACTGTACAGAACATCACTGAAATATAATTTTGCTGTGTGGGTTATTTGCAAATTCTTCTTAATAAGATTTTATTAAAAAATCACATATGGAGGTAAATGTTTTTAATATCATTTGAAATATGAAAAATTACAAGAAGCAAACTTGTCATAACTATTTAATAAACCAGAATTCAAATTGTTCTTATGTGATACCATGTTCTTGTCACTATATGAAATGCTTTTTTAAAACAATTTGTTTTGCTGGGCAGTGGTGGCACATGCCTTTAATCCCAGCACTTGGGAGGCAGAGGCAGATGGATCTCTGTGAGTTCCAGGCCAGCCTGATCTACAGATCAGTTCCAGGACAGCCAGGATTCCATAAAGAAACCCCGTCTCAAAAAGAAAAAAGTTTTAGTATTGTATTTATGTGCATGTATGTATATGAAGTACAGGCATGCCTGGTATCCACAGAGGTCAGAAGCACTGGCTTCCCTCAAACTGGAGTAATGGATGGTTGCTAACTAAAATGAGTACTAGAAACGAGGCCCAGGTCCTCTGTCAGAACAATTAAGTCCTAGTTGTAACGGGGCAGAGGTTCCTGTATCTTGTCTCAGCTGTAGTCATCTGTGGTTTAACCTGAAACTGACTGCTTCCTATTTTATCCCCAACCCCCAGCTGTAAAAGTAGCCAACCCTGTTCTAGAAACTCAGGGTTCAAATGTCCCAGCTAATTGCATGCTTTGGCTTCTGTTAAACTGCTTGCTTGCTTTACTTCCAGTAACAGTAACAACAGCAGCAACAACAACCATACCCTGAAACTTGGGGCTGGAGAGATTGCTCAGCAACTGTTGTTCTTGCAGAGGACCTGGGTTTGGTTCTCAGTACCCATATGGCTAACAGCTATTTGTCACTCCAGTTCCAAAGGATCTAACACCCCCTTATGGTTTCCACAGGCACCAGGCATACATGTGGTACAGACATATCTGCAGGCAAAATACTCATGTATATAAAATAAAAATATATCTGCTATGGAGGTGCACACCTTTAATCCCAGCACTTGGGAGACAGGCAGGTAGATCTATGTGAGTTCAAGGCCAGCCTGGTCTATAGAACCAGTGCCAGAACAGGCTCCAAAGCTACACAGAAAAAACCCTGACTAAAAAAAAAAAACAAAACAAAAACAAACAAAAAACCCAAACTACTGTTAGGAAACAATTTTTGTTTTCTTTTGTTATTTATCGTATTAGTTGTTTGTTCTGATTGTCTTTTCTTTCTTTCTTCTTTTGTTTTTTGTTTTGGTGAGGATTTTTTTTTTTTAAATAAAGAATATGAAGTTATGTGGGTAGGGAATTGGGGAAAGTAAACTGATCAAAATATACTGTGTAGAAAAAAAAAACAAAATTCTTTATTTTTATAAGCGCACACACACACACTTCTACATCTTTAATCATTCCCTAGAACAAGGTAATAAACAAAAACTGAAGCTAAGGTGAATCCTGTTCATTTCTGAGACAGCAATGAGATTTTTCTCCTAGTTTTTAAACATTCCTATAATGAGTTATATAAACCTAAATAGAAAACTCAACTTTAATAGGTTTTGAGGAATAGTCTCCATCTTTGTGAAAAGTTGAACATTACTAATTATATCCAATCATCTTTAGGAAGGAAAAACTATTTACTGAACCAGGATTACTGTTTTTGTTGTTCATTAGTTTGAGACAGGGCCTTTCTATGTAGCCCAGCTGACCTATAACTCCCTATGCAGACCAGACTGGCCTCAAAGGTCTGCCTGTCTCCACAGTGCTGGGATCAAAAGTGTGTGTTACCATACTATACATAGATTGGATTATGTTTTTAAAATACTGTGTGGGGGGCTAGAGAGATGGCTCAGTGGATAAAAGCACTGTCTTCTCTTCCAGAGGACCCGGGTTCAATTCCCCACACCTACATGGTAGCTTGCAACTGTTTGTAACTCCAGTTCTAGGGGATCTGACATCTTCACACCAGTGTAGACTAAATAAATTTTTAAAAAACATAAAAAAATCCTGTATGTGTAGATCTGAGCAACTGAGGCAGAGTGTGAGATGTCAGTGGCTGTGGGTTCTACAGGCAGTCCCAGCTATTTGACCACACGAAGATGGATTTTCTTGTGGTTTGTACCATGAACAAGACAGACTGGTGTTCCTTGGGACCTTTTTCCATCTCAGACTTGGAATTTGGGGTCAGTAGCCAACTGGCAGCATTGGGAGAAACCATAATGCAGAGTGGCATCACTTTGGGGACATTTATGACTAGGCATACAATGAGAATCAAGACAAAGACTGCCTGCTAAATTTATTTCCCATTCATATGGACACTTGTACTACAACAACAGAACAAAGCTTTTTCAAAGTGGGTGACAAGATGGCTCAGTAGGTCAGGACACCTGACAATATGCATGCCAACCTGAGTTTTGTCCTTAAAAGACAGAACCCACTCCAGCCAAGTCGTCTGATTCTCACACATGTATTACGGTGATACACAAAATGTAGACATGTTCATTTTATCTTACTTAAACCAGGACTAATGAACACTGGTTAAAAAAAAAAAAAAAAAAAAAAAAAAAAAAAAAGCCAGGTGTAGTTGTCATGCCCATGAGTAATCTAGTAATCTCAGTGCTGAGGAGGAAGAGGGGCAGATCACTAGGGTTCACTGGCTAGACAGACTAGTTTAATTCACAAGCTCCAGGTCAATGAGAGACCTTACAACAAAAAAACAAAGGTAGAGGTAGATGATTGCTGAAGAATGAAATCTAGGTTTTCCTCTGGGATACATGAGATACTTGCCTCATAAATAAGGCAACATCTATTACTCATTAGTAATTAGTAGCTTTTCTCCTTGAGACACTATGTAGCACTGGCTTGCATGGAACACATTGCATAGACCAGGCTAGCCATGAACTCAAAAGATATGCTTGCCTCTGCCTCCTAAGTACAGGGATTAAAGGCAAACGCCACCATGCCCAGCCTTACTAAGTGACTTTTAAAAGAAAAGCTATTGTCTGCCCTTTCTTTATACTTTTTCTAATTTATTGAGGCAGGATCTCATAGTAGTCCAGGTTTAGAACTACCTCAGGTTCCCCCCAAACTAGGATTATAGGCATGACTACCTGATCAATGCCGGGAAAATTCATTTTGTTTTAGGGATATACTTTTTGGGATTCTTCAAACACTCCATTGTAGGGAGCAAGTGAAGTCCTGAATGAAAATGTATTGTTGACATGGGCACAGCCATGTCAAGAACCAAAGCCTCAGAGCAATAGGACTGACAAAAATCTTCCTGGGGTGAGGCTCAAAGGGATGGCAAAGTCTTTCTGGGGTCCAAGTACCAATGTCGACAGTGTGTGCAGAAAATGTCCACTGTAGCTCTCCTCCCTCATGTTTATGGCCTGAAGATTGTTCCTCCTGGCTCAGCTGTATTCAACAACCTAACGTGGTCTCCCTATTCAGCTGCATTTAATAAACACGCTGAGTTGCTTCTCCCATCGGGAGGCCGGTCCACTTGAGCCCAGCTTTTCTATAAGCCTGTGCTTGTCATTTCCTCACCCTCTTTAGGTTAATCCCTGGAGCTGTGCAGAGAATCCCATCCATGTATCCTCTCTGCAGGTGACACATTTGTTCTCGCTGGCCTTTGTGTAAGACAATCCAGTTGTCCCAACCTCTTCCCCAAACAGACATGGAGATTTGGATTAGTTTCTGGCTTGCCTCCTATTTTAGATGTATGTATGCTCACAACACATACACACATAAACACAGTTAAGTGTAATAATAAAATTAGAAAAAATATATCGCCAAGGTGGGTGTGGTGGCACTTGCCTTTAGTCTGAGCACTTGG